CCTCTCTCCCACCTCACTCCCTCACTTCGTTAATTTTACGTATACTTGATGAGGTCCGTCAAAAACGTGTGAATTTTTCATTTTTCATTTCAGCTTTTGGAAGTAAAGTCTGATGATCCAGAAGTTAAAGTGGTTATGGTGAAATAGCTTATTACATGGAATCTTAACGTGGTCTGTTTTTTATTCAAACATATCTGCTCTGAATTTTACATTGAGCTCTCTGGATATCATCCTCCTTAGGTCTACCCATACGGATTACCTAAGTTTGCATAAACTATATATATATATATATATATATATATATATATATATATATATATATATATATACTAACCACTGACCGAATTGCCTATAACATTTATATATACATGATAACCGGCTACTTGTTTTCCAAGCACACTCGTCTACTGTTAAAGAAGCCCGCCCAGACACATTTGTGATTGTTCTGCACCCATACAGCGCGCCTGTTGTTTACATTGCAACTGTGTTGAGCGGATCTTAGTTATGGTTTCTGGGAGGAAACGCATAATCTTTTATGCACAGCAGTTTGAACAACGCTATTAAGATCAAAACCTCAGGCATTCTTTCTTTAATAGACTTTCTTTCTTTCTTTCTTTCTTTCTTTCTTTCTTTTTTTTTTCTTTCTGTCATACTTTCTAACTTTCTTCTTCGTCACCCATTCTCTCTTCTCACAAGTTATTTCTCGTTACACTTTCTTTCTTTCCTTTTTCTTTGAAAATTTTCTTTTTTGTCACCTTTTTCCTTCTTTCTTTCCTTCTTTCTTTCTTTCTTTCTTTCTTTCTTTCTTTCTTTCTTTCTTTCTTTCTTTCTTTTCAAGCGATACTTCTCTCTTTTTAACATTTCACTTTCTTTCTTTCATTATTTGTTTCTTTCTTCTCAAACACTATTTCACTCTTTTTCTCATGTCACTTTCTTTCTTTCTTTTTCTAAAATGATACTCCTCTCTTTCTTTCGCATTTAACTCTCTTTCTCATTTCACTTTCTTTCTTTCTTTCCTTCTTTTTTCTTTCTTTCTTTCTTTCTTTTCAAATGATTCTTTTTTTCTCATGTCACTTTCTTTCTTTTCTTCTTTCTTCCTTTCTTTCTTCTTAAACGCTACTTCTTTTTCTCATGTCAATTTCTTTCTTTCTTTCTTTCTTTCTTTCTTTCTTTCTTTCTTTCTTTCTTTCTCCACTTATCTTTTTCGTTTTTTCTTTCTCTTTTCTTTGAACCCATTTAAAACCTTCCTCACCCGCAAAATATGTTAGCAGTATGAAGACAGAAATATCAGGCGATCAGCCATTTTCGGCGACGAATAACACCTGCGATTGTTTGACTATTTTGACGACAACGCTGGAAAGAAACGGGTTAGAATTCTCTGACAACTCCGAATTGGAATCCTAAAAGTGAAAATCCAAACTCGTCAATTCGTGCACGAACTTCGTGACCCCTGAGGGGAATGGGTAGGTTGTGGGTGTGTCGAAATGGGTATGAGAACTGCATACAGCTCTAAGAGGTTTTGAATCTCAATGTTGGCCAGGAACATTTCAACAAATAATTATGAGAAAGTCATGGGCTCCTAAATTACTCGCTTTCGGACGATGAACCGATATGCTAATTTTTTTAAGGTATTCACACAAGACAAGGTCCAAGAGGCACTCAAGTTAGAGGAGGCGTCAATGGCATTGTAATTATAATATGTCGTGATTTTATGTAGGATATATAACAGTTAATTCTGGACTTGAAGAAATTAAGGTTGTAATGGTATGGGAATCTTCCTCTTAAGAGTCTGTTTTACCGATCAGCGGCTATTGGGTTTTGAAGCTGTCCGAATTGAACTTCCTCCTTACAAATGGAATACGAAGCATTTTCCATGAATTTTTGTTGAAATGCGTATATATCCATAATTATAATTCCAGCGCTTTTGACAGAAATGGTTGCGTGGCCGAAATACACTCATATAGAATTTATATATAAAAAAACAAAACTAAACAAAAAACTAAAAAAAAACTATCAATAAAACGAGCTTGATTTCAGAAAAAAATACATACCTGGTTTAACTGACAACCACAAATACCTATTGAAGCTAGGCTTCCTCGTAGATATATGAAGACCCCGAACGAAAGATCTAATAAGAAAAACATTCATGTAAAATCTTCCGACAAGAGTAGAGTTATAATTATGTATATACACGCATATTGTTCAAAAACGAAAATCCTTCTTGAAGTCGGCATTAAAAAATTAAAAAAAAAAAGGTAAGAAAAGAGAAACAAAGATTTGAACATGAAATCTAGAAATGATTAAGGAATGAAGACAATTCCTAATTAAAAATCATCGAACATTAGCCGAAAACACAAGCAGACGCAAACACACACATATATGTTTGGTATGAATTCAAAGATTTACGCAGGTCAGTATATATTTATATTCTATTCATAAGAATCTATCATAAAAATGTTGTCGGCATTAAATAACTCATTGAGGTTGATATGCCGTAAAACAAAATAAACCAAATCAATCTAAACCAAAGAATACATATTCTATTCAGACGAATCTATCCTAAAAATGTTGTCGGCATTAAATAACCCATTGAGGTGTTGATATGCCGTAAAACAAAATAAACCAAATCAATCTAAACCAAAGAATACATATTCTATTCATATGAATCTATCCTAAAAATGTTGTCGGCATTAAATAACCCATTGAGGTGTTGATATGCCGTAAAACAAAATAAACCAAATCAATCTAAACCAAAGAATACATATTCTATTCATATGAATCTATCCTAAAAATGATGTCGGCATTAAATAACCCATTGAGGTGTTGATATGCCGTAAAACAAAATAAACCAAATCAATCTAAACCAAAGAATACATATTCTATTCATACGAATCTATCCTAAAAATGTTGTCGGCATTAAATAACTCATTGAGGTGTTGATATGCCATAAAACAAAATAAACCAAACCAATCTAAACCAAAGAATACATATTCTATTCATACGAATCTATCCTAAAAATGTTGTCGGCATTAAATAACCCATTGAGGTGTTGATATGCCATAAAACAAAATAATCGAATGCACCAATCAGCAGGTTCAGTTTTCGACTTGGTTATTTTAATTGCTTCCCATTGTTCCGCTTCGGTGTCATATGCTTTTCTACTTTCATATAATTTCATTTTCACAATTGACCATAGATTTTCGATTGGATTCAGACTGGCACGTAACGGTATCCATTCCATTAACTTCTTTCCTGTAAACATAACCTTAGATATTCGAGAAGGAGCATTGTCGTGCATAAATAAATGCTTACCTTTGAAACAATCAAAGAAAATCTTGTTCATAAAATCGAAGTAGTTAGCACTGTTCAGTTTAAGTCCTTTATTGACTTTGAATTGTCCAATAATGGTTTGGTCGACAGTTCCATCTCATATCATCACATAACGGCCTCTTTGATGCCTACTTTTAATCTTAGGCATGTCTGCATTGGATAAAATCCATTATTGGCCTATCCATCAGGGCCATCGAGTGTCACCCAGGATTCGTCCGTGAAAATTACTTTAGAAAAGTCAATCATTTTGACGCTTAGAAATATTTGCTTTTCCGAGAAGAGTTTAACGAGGAGATTTCTTGATATATTTTTGAACTATTCTACACGTTTTCTCCTTCTTGATTTCCTCAATTCTATCCTGTTCAAAGATCCCTGGCTTTAGTTTACGTTGCCCCCCTCCAGAAGACAAGTCCTTTTCTTTTGCTTCTAGTTCTCAAGAGTTATAATTTCAACGGCCCTCTTTATAATTCGATGATCTCTGCGAAGTTCCATTTTTGTCTCCAATGTGGACAATTCCCTCACGCAATAACTTTGTTATTTTCGGTTTTTCACCATTTGTTAGATGCTTCATCCATGTTTCAACATAAAGGAAAAAAGAAAAATAGTTTTGATTACGTTTCACAGGCCTTAATCTAATATTAGTTAAATCTAGTTAAACACTTCGGTTAGTTCATTTTTGCAAATTTTAAATATCTCAAAATATAACCGTTAATCATAGCTGGGAATTTAGTTATAGATTTTACCAAGGGTGGAAATAGACAAGTTTTAAAAAAACATAACTTACCAGATATATGGTTCTACACTTTTTGAGTTATTGAAGTTGATTTACAGAAGCTATCTATCTATCTATCTATCTATCTATCTATATATATATATATATATATATATATATATATATATATATATATATTCGATGGTCTGTGGAAGCTACTTTTTGTTATCTCCAACGCGGACCTTCCGTCATTCAACAACTTTCTCTTTTTCAGTATTTCTTACACACACACACACACACACACACACACACACACACACACACACACACACACACACATATATATATATATATATCGGGTGTAACAGCAAAATTATCCAATTGTTGGATTAACGTTGTCTCTTAGAAATGATTAAAGACATCTTACTGGAATTCTCGCGTGGTAATGTGTGACGTCATGAGGTGCGGTGCGATTTTCGCTTCTAGCGTCTTATATGCACGTGTTTATTGTTGCTTGGAAATCATCCATCTAAACAATAACAGACTATCACCACAGTCTTGTCCTAATATACTGTACAGTAATTGACATCTTTGATAATGGCTTATGTAAGCAGAAAGGTTAGATTGGATTAAAAAATATGTATCAATATTGTGATTTTCTTTCTTCGTTTAATGATAATGTTATATATATATATATATATATATATTCGATGGTCTTCCTTTGTTATCGCCAATGTGGACATTCCGTCATTCAATTACTTTCTCTTTTTCATTATATCTTTTATATATATATATATATATATATATATATATATACACCGGGTGTAACAGCAAAATTATCCAATTGTTAGATTAACGTTGTATCTTAGAAATGATTAAATATATCTTACTGGAATTCTCCGAGATTTTTATAACACTATTGGACTCTACTGTGAACAATAAGAATGCATTTAGCTCTAACTTGAAATGATGACCCTTCTTGCTGTTTCGACCTCCTGATCTAGTTTTCCTCTCTACTGTTTCCTCCTTAAACTTATTCACCATTCTCTTCATGGTTCTTGAATGGACTTTGAAGATGGATGCCACTGTACGAATGTTCGTACCATTACTGAAGGCCTGAAATATCTTTTTCCTCTTACCATTGCTCAGTTGGGAAGACATAGTAGGGTTGATACGAAATGATTTTAACTGGTTCTCTTTGCAGCTGAATAACTCAAATGGTCTTTCAGTGATTATTACGACAAATAGTGTCAAGGTGGCTAAATGTCTTATTTGAATACCTGAAAAAAGAGACTCAATTAATTTCGTGAGTTTTTAGATATTAAATATTTTGTGGGATGGACAATTATCCCAATGCTGTTACACGATTTGGACAATTTTGCAAACAAAATAAAAAAGCTGCAACTCTCAAACATCAGTCTTTAAAAAGTTCTGCTTCTCTGTTCCTTCTTTAGTCAACACACACGTTGCACCCTGGCAATACCTCTTAAATAATTGACTATTCTGTTTTCATCACGCGGAAAGCCTAATTGTTTTCAGAGAGAAAACGCAAGAAGTGGGGGAGATAGAACTGTTTAAAGCCTCCTGTTAATAGCTCATAAATAATGAACTATTCCGTTTTGATCGCACAGACAGACGGAAAAGACATATCAGAGACGCTACTTGGTTTCAGTGATAAAATAAAAGAAAGAAAAAAAGAATGAAGGAAAGATAGACCTGTTTAACGTCTTTTGCTAATAGCTAAAAAAAATAATGAACTATTCCGCTTTGATCGCATAGACAGACGGAAAAAGACATATCAGAGACGCTACTTGGTTTCAATGATAAAATAAAAGAAAGAAAGAAAGAATGAAGGAAAGATAGACCTGTTTAACGTCTTTTGCTAATAGCTAAAAAATAATGAACTATTCCGCTTTGATCGCATAGACAGACGGAAAAGACATATCAGAGACGCTACTTGGTTTCAGTGATAAAATAAAAGAAAGAAAGAAAGAATGAAGGAAAGATAGACCTGTTTAACGTCTTTTGCTAATAGCTAAAAAATAATGAACTATTCCGCTTTGATCGCATAGACAGACGGAAAAGACATATCAGAGACGCTACTTGGTTTCAGTGATAAATAAAAAGAAAGAAAGAAAGAATGAAGGAAAGATAGACCTGTTTAACGTCTTTTGCTAATAGCTAAAAATAATGAACTATTCCGCTTTGATCGCATAGACAGACGGAAAAAGACATATCAGAGACGCTACTTGGTTTCAATGATAAAATAAAAAGAAAGAAAAGAAAGAATGAAGGAAAGATAGACCTGTTTAACGTCTTTTGCTAATAGCTAAAAAAAAAATAATGAACTATTCCGCTTTGATCGCATAGACAGACGGAAAAGACATATCAGAAACGCTACTTGGTTTCAGTGATAAAATAAAAGAAAAGAAAAGAAAGAATGAAGGAAAGATAGATCTGTTTAACGTCTTTTGCTAATAGCTAAAAATAATGAACTATTCCGCTTTGATCGCATAGACAGACGGAAAAGACATATCAGAGACGCTACTTGGTTTCAGTGATAAAATAAAAAAAAGAAAAAAGAAAGAATGAATGAAGGAACTAAGATAGACCTGTTTAACGTCTTGGTTTTTGATAAAATAAAAGAAAGAAAGAAAGAAAAAAATAATGAACTATTCCGCTTTGATCGCATAGACAGACGGAAAAAACATATCAGACGCTACTTGGTTTCAGTGATAAAATAAAAGAAAGAAAGAAAGAATGAAGGAAAAACCTGTTTAACGTCTTTTTTTGCTAATAAAAAATAATGGTTTCAGCTTTGATAAAATAAAAAAAAGAAAGACTTGGAAGTGATAAAATAAAAGAAAAGGAAAGAATGAAGGAAAGATCTGTTTAACGTCTTTTGCTAATAGCTAAAAATAATGAACTATTCGCTTTGATCGCATAGACAGACGGAAAAGACATATCAGAGACGCTACTTGGTTTCAGTGATAAAATAAAAGAAAGAAAGAAAGAATGAAGGAAAGATAGACCTGTTTAACGTCTTTTGCTAATAGCTAAAAAATAATGAACTATTCCGCTTTGATCGCATAGACAGACGGAAAAGACATATCAGAGACGCTACTTGGTTTCAGTGATAAAATAAAAGAATTAAAGAAAGAATGAAGGAAAGATAGACCTGTTTAACGTCTTTTGCTAATAGCCAGAAAATAATGAACTATTCCGCTTTGATCGCATAGACAGACGGAAAAGACATATCAGAAACGCTACTTGGTTTCAGTGATAAAATAAGAGAAAGAAAGAATGAAGGAAAGATAGATCTGTTTAACGTCTTTTGCTAATAGCTAAAAAATAATGAACTATTCCGCTTTGATCGCATAGACAGACGGAAAAGACATATCAGAGACGCTACTTGGTTTCAGTGATAAAATAAAAGAAAGAAAGAAAGAATGAAGGAAAGATAGACCTGTTTAACGTCTTTTGCTAATAGCTAAAAAATAATGAACTATTCCGCTTTGATCGCATAGACAGACGGAAAAGACATATCAGAGACGCTACTTGGTTTCAGTGAGCAAATGCTAAAGAAAGAAGGGACGATAGACGTGTTTAACGTCTCCTGGTAATAGCTCATATATAATGGACTATTCCGTTTAGATCACGTGGAAACAACGAAAAGACATATCAGAGACGCTACTTGGTTTCAGTGAGGAAATGAAAGAAAAAAAAGAAAGAAGGAAATAAGGAAGGATAGAAGCTTTTAATATCTTCTATCAATGGTTCATAATTTAATGAACTATTCCGTTCTGCTCGCATGGGAAGACGGAAAAGACATATCAGAGACGCTACGCGGTTTCTGTGAGAAAAAGAAAGAAAGAAAGAAAGAAAAAGAAAAGGAAAGAAAGAAAAAGAGGAAGTACAGGAAAAGTGAGAAAAAAATGAACTAGAGAGATAAAGTGCGTTAACAAGAGGAAAGCGAAACTGAAAATGCAAAAAATTTCTAAAGAAAAACAAAAAAACAAAAACTAATTTGCAAACAAAATAAAAATCTCTCATTTTCCAACTTCACTGCTTAAAAAAATAAAACCTGCCAAAACGTTAGAATTACGGAAAATATATATATATATATATATATATATATATATAAGAATATAAAAATAAATAAAGAACAAAAAGGAAATAAAAATCGAGGCTAAAGAAGTTTTCTCGATTGATAATTTCTCGCCTGGTTGGTAGTGCTTGACTTCATCTTAACAAACAACGTATTATGTTACGCTATTTTCTTTCGATTCTTCCTTGGTTGCGACCAGATGACATGCGCGTCTGTTCACGTGCGCGGAGAAGGTGTCAGTTGTTTAATGGTTCTCATCTGTTTGCTTTAAGCGTTGCTCTCTCTCGGCTTTGCCGCCGAGATCGGGGCCCCGCTTTGCCGAGCCGTCGTGCGTTGCTTTTGTCGATCTAAATGTGTAAGAGATCCTCCTTCTGGTTAGTGGATTTCTGCCCGTGTCAGCCTTTCGATGGTTGATTGCTCCAACACCTCTCTTTCTCTGACACTCACCGTAGGTTTCTCTCTCTCCTCTACGCGGGTGCGCGCACGAGCACACACACACACACACACACACACACACACACACACACACACACACACACACACACACACACACATTCTCTCTCTCCCTCCCCCTCTCTCTCTCTCTATATATATATATATATATATACGTATTAGGAATGAATTATGGTTTAGTTAAGGGTGAGAATGGATAAGGGTGAAACAGCTAATAACCCCGTTAAAATAAATAAATGCCAATCTATCTATCTATCTATCTATCTATCTATCTATCTATCTATCTATCTCATATATTATGTATGCATCTATCTATCTAACACAGTTTATTTATATCTATTTATCCATTATAGTGTTCATTATCTATCAATCTATCCATCTATTATAGTATCTATCTATCTATCTATCTATCTATCTATCTATCTATCTATCTATCTATCTATCACAGTTTATTTATATCTTTCTATCAGTTTATTTATATCTATCTGTTACAGTTTTTGTTTATCTGTCTATCCATCTATTTGTCTATGTATGCATTATAGTGCTCGTTATCTATCATAGTTTATATATATGTATATATATATTATAAATTAATTGATTTTAAATATTTTAAATCAATTAATTTATAATATTAATGCTCTGTAAATTTACATTGACCACTATTTTGTAAAATAAAAATATCTATAAGAACACCGGATTATATATCTTACTATTTCTTTCTTTATATATATATATATATATATATATATATATATATATATATATATATATATATTATAGTTTTCTTTTATCTATCTATCTATCTATCTATCTATCTATCTATCTATCTATCTATCTATCTATCATAGTGTTCGTTATCTATCTATCTATCTATCAATCTATGTATCTATCTATCTATCTATCTATCTATCTTTTATAGTATTCGTTATCTATCTATATATCTATTTATCTTCCTTCAAACTCTCTTTGGTAAATGATCAATTTCATTTTAACAGTTTACCCAATACAAGGCCTAAGAGCCACTCAATATAGAGACATATTGTATGGTGAGAAAAGCCCAGAAGTGGAGTCCTTGGAGCTATGCAAGAAAGATGAATGTTAACCTTAAGAAACTTAAAGAAGTCAAGATTATAGTGATCAGGTAATTACCTTAACGGGTGGTTGTTTCACAGTTCTTGAGAGGAACCTGTCCGAAAGGAATTTACATCTTACTATTGGAATACGAAAGGAATGCAGATGATTCACCCCTGGCTGGTGAGACCAAGGAATGTAGCCCGTCAGAACTTTAGTGATAGAGTAACGAGAGGTTTGCAACGTTTCGACTGGGTTGGAAAATAATTCATCAGCCGTAAGGATGTGTCGACCCTTTTATATTCTTTTTAAATGAGGACTCAGCCGATCCAGGCTAGATATATCAGCAATACTCCATTTTTTGTTTGCTTGTTGTGGCTCTGTGAAATGATAGAGCATAGAATAGAGAGCCAGGTCCTCGTGTGCGTGGGAGGACGCATTAGGCTATGATCGATTTGGGTTTTTTTTTAAGGTTTATCAAAGATTTAAAGGTTATTTAAAACCAGAATATATTTTTAGATTGTAAGAAGTTTTTTTGAGATTATGGCTTATTGGTAGAAGTCCTACTATTTAATCCATAGCTGGGGGAGAAGAGGTGGTTTCATACGTATTTGTGCGTAAGTGAATATAAGGAACTCGATTGCAACTTGGTTCACTGATTTCCAATTTCGAGACATTATCGATTGCACTACTGCATATCATATCATGGATGCATGTTGCTACGCATGTTATAGATGCATGTTGTTATGCATGTTATGGATGCAAGTTGTTATGCATGTTATAGATGCATGTTGTTATGCATGTTATGGATGCAAGTTGTTATGCATGTTATGGATGCAAGTTGTTATGCATGTTATGGATGCATGTTGTTATGCATGTTATGGATGCATGTTGTTATGCATGTTATAGATGCAAGTTGTTATGCATGTTATGGATGCAAGTTGTTATGCATGTTATGGATGCATGTTGTTATGCATGTTATGGATGCAAGTTGTTATGCATGTTATGGATGCAGTTTTGTGGGCAAACTATTGGTGGATCTGTTATTGCAGAGGCTGTCTTCCGTTGGCGTTTCGTAAAGATGTGTGCAACTGGAGTTTGTCTACTCAGATAATATGCACAGACCTTGTTGCAAAGCATTTGCATCCTTTTTATGCGCCCCATTGGTGAACTGAAATTTTTAGATGAAATGCCTACCGTAAGTTCTATGCTAAGAGTTTCTTCTCGTTTGTGGAACTCTCCTCGAGCCTCTTGCTTCCCAGTCAAATTTGATCTTCAAAAATTTAAAGGCAATGTCAATCGTTATCTTTTTAATTGTTGTTCTTTTGTTGTCTTCTCCCGTTAATAGTATATTTTTCTTATATTCTGCAACCGTCAGCAAATCCTTAGTGGTTTTATTGCCTTGCTTGGGGTGAAATGATTAAAAAAACAACAAAAAAAAGTTAACGGAGAAGCCGACCACAAGAATTCGTCAAAATCTCGGAAGAAAATATTATATGAGATTTAAAAAAAAATGCAAATCAATAGATAAATTAAAAAAAAAATACGAGGATCGGCCGGAAAGTTCACAGGATAACCCCCACCCTGCAGTCCACACATTTCTTCCATCGGTGTTGCAATGCTTGAATCCCATTGGTGAAGAAGCTTTCATCCTATTGGTTAAAAAAGTCCTCAACAGCTGACATGACGTCATCTTCACTGCGATACTAGTTCCCAGCCAAGTAATGTTTCATGTTGGGGAACAGATGATAGTCAGATGGGGCCAAATTAGGAAAATAGAATCCACCAGTTCAAAGCAAGTCACGAACAGCAGCCCTTGAAATCAAGGATCTGTGTGCTCGAGCAATCTCCTGATACAATAAGACCCCTTTCATTAGTTTTCCTGGGTTATTAGTCTCGATAGATTTTATTAACTGATTCAACAAGTGTACTTGTATAGTACTCTCCATTGATGGTGTGGCCCCTCTGGAGATAGTCAATAAACACTTTGGAGTGTAGGGTGTTTCGACTGCATGGATTTGTCTCGTTTTCTTCTGCTCAATATGGGGAACCCAACACTTTCTCCTGAGTCAAGAAAATCGGCCGGATTTGCCTCAAACGATGTCCGAGTTTCCCGTGATGTGATTTGGCTGATGCGCTTTTGAGCAAGTGTTAGGAATGATCGAAAAATTGGCTTCACCCAAAGAGTTCTGAGTTCAATACCAGGCCACAGAATAGGTGAATAAAAACTTGGACAGTTGTTTTACTAAAGGGAGTTAACTGAAACTGAGATATCAAAAAAAAAAAAAATAAATAAATAAATAAAATAAAATAAAATAAAAGAAGCGTGGCACGTGGAATTAGAACAATCTACCCCACTGTGGACTAAATAAAGAGGTCGGTTCGAAATTCCAACTTATATGGCCTGAAGATGACCGGAGTGTACAACGGCCGAAACGTCGTGAATATTGCAATAAAGATGAGGACAACAGTCCGGACGGTATAAATAGTGTAAATTGTTATAATCCCCGGAATCGTAGACTAGTTTAACCTCTATTGCAATAACCACAATATGTATGTATGTATAGCTGACCACTCGTATTCAAGAATACCCGTCTACTAGAGCGGCTAGCTAATCCCTATTGCAGATACTTGCTCAGGCGTAGTTTGTGTTTATTCAACACCCACAGAGTTCACCTGTGTTTTTATACTGCAACTACGCCGAGTTACAGTTTCTGGGAAGGTGCGTGTTATCTAGCGTGATCAACAATTTGAACAAGGCCAGCACGCTCAAGCCTTCGGTCACGATGACTTGTGACTTCGTGTTAGTACAGCTATCGACGGGTTGCGTCTACCCGATTTCAGTCACACGGCTTGGTGATATGGTTTTCAGGAATTTTACAAAGGTGCCGTACGCTGGGACCGACCCCACCATTTCAATGGAGGGGTCGATCCCTCAAACCGACAATGGTGGGATTCGAACACGGGCCTCATTGTTAGAATGCGAACATTTTAACCACTCGGCCACGTAGCCACAATATATAACACTGGTATCCACATAAGATATCATTTTTTGGAGCAACCCTTGACACAGTTTAATAAATATTCGCGTGCGCGCGCGCGTGTATGTGTGTTTACTTTAGTATATGTGTGCACGTGTACGTGCGTACGTGTCTGTGAGAGTGTATGCCTGAGTATGTATATGTATCAGCGGCGAATATATGCATTCTTGTGTCTTTGTGTTCTAGAGGGTTGTGTATACGTGTGACTGCACATGAATATGAGTACATGGATGCATATGCGCGAATGTGTTCGAGCGTGCATGAGTGTGTGTATATATGCTTGTGAGAGCCTGTAGTGATTTTCAAAGCGTAGCTTAGATGTGGCACAAGGCCGAAAGTATTGTGCACCCAGTGAGGATCGAACTCACTACTCAGTCGTAATTGTTCTAGCGAGACAAGTTTGTTAACCATTACACCGCCTCGAGGTGCCCAAATAGAGATTTTCCAAGCGTAGCTTAGATGTGGCACAAGGCCGAAAGTATGGAGCACCCAATGAGGATCGAACTCACTACTCAGTCGTAATTGTCCTAGCGAGACAAGCTTGTTAACCATTACACCGCCTCGAGGTGCCCTTTGTGAGAGCCTGTATGAATCTATCTCTGTGTGGGGGTGTATGTGTGACTATGTGTGTACGTGCGCGTATATGAGTGTGTGCGTGCGTGTGAGCGTCTGTACCTGTGTGTGCGCCTGTCTGTGCCAGCGGGCGCACTGAGTGCGTGAATGTGTGAGTTTGGATCTAAATTTGTATGTGCTCGCGGGCCTATGCGTGGATATGCCTATCCGCGGATGTGTGCGTAGGCGTGTGCGTTCGTGCGATTGTGTGTCTATGCGTGCAGTCATGTATTTGTGCCTCTACCCGCGTGTGCCTGTGTGTGTGTTTATACCTACGTCTGTGAGCATGTGCGCGATGTCTAACTGTGTTTGTGTTTGCGTGCATGGGTGTGTATCTATGCGTGTAAACGTGTGTGTTTTTGCCGACTTTGATTCTAGGATTTCAAGAACAGGACCACCAACACGTACCCGAAGGTACCCATGTGTATACTTACCGAGATTCAAGATGCGTGGGTTAATACCCTGGTGTGGTATTTGGCTAATATCCAACCCTTTTGACAGTGGTATCAACAGTCGTTTTTTCATCCACCCGAGTGTTATTTGACATGCATTTTTGCAGCAGCTATACCCAGACACCCGTTATTCGTTCTTTGATACCTCATTTCCCATACTGTTTTGATTTGGGGGATTTCAGATTATTCATAGATATACCAATTCCTTAACTTTAGACGACTTCCTTTGAGGTCTTAGTGAGTGGATTAAGTCTTCTGTTTTGATTAATATTAAAAAAAAAGTTATTGTCGAATAATTGATTCATTTGTTATTTACTACTTATCACCGCTTTGTAAATTATTTAAACACGAAACGTATTTGTTATTATAACGTTAATTCGTTTTTTTTTTGCGAATGATTTCTCTCCAGAATCTATCTTACATGTCTATAAGTCTACTATTCGTCCATGCTTAAAATATTGCTGCCACATCTGGTCTGGTGCTTCTGCTATATATTTAGAGATTCTTGATAAACTTCTAAGGAGAATCTGCAATGTTTCTCTCCAAAATCTATTCGTCCATGCTTAAAATATTGCTGCCACATATGGACCGGTTCCCCTGCTACTTACCTTAAGCACCTTGGTAAGATCCAAAGAAGAGTCAGCTTTTCTGACGCCGAATCAGAGACGCCAAATGAACTACGCCGATACGTAACAAATCCTTGTGGTTTAGGGGCATTACTGTCTTGCACAGGGTGATACCGATAAAAACAAAGAAAAATAAATGATATCGCATTAACAATTTCTTTTTTGAT